CTTGTAGAATTCAATAATTGATATTTGATGTGTCAACAGTTTAATGTTACAAATCATCATGTAGTTTAATACCATTGGCTCTAGTAGTTTTTGTTCATATCTTGTTTATTGTAAAGGTTTAGACAAGGAAGAGTCATTTTCTTTATCAAATTGAGAACTCATCAAATTCCTTGTCAAATTTGAATTTGATGAAAATTTACAAAGATGAAGCATTTGCGAGAAAAAAAAATAAAAATTGTCAAATTTGATGAAAAGTTGAATTTGAGATGAGAGGATAATTTTTTAAAAAGAATTTGATAAAAATTTGATGAAATGATTGGAATAATTCATACCAAGTTTTTTTTACTCAAATTTGAAATCAAATTAGATGAGAAAATTAGTAAAAGATGGTTTTATAGGGCTGAGAGTAAGAGCATCCTTAGCAGATTATCTAAATTTTACCTTAAAATATTATTAAAAATTCATTCCTTATTTTAGAGAATCATTTTTTCATCTACTTCCCCTAACAACACTCACTATTCTTTCTCTATTCTATTAAAATAATATTTTTAATTGCTTTAAATTTGAATATTTTTTCAATAATAAAATAATTATTACACTTGTCAACCAACTCTGCAATTTCAGGCAGTGGGGCTCCTACTCAGGGGCGGCTCCAAGGCTTGGCCAGGGGTGTTACCCGAACCCCCTGGCTGAATTTTTATTATTATTATTATTATTATTATTATTATTATATAAATATTAGATTTTAAGAAAAAAATTAGTAATTGAACCCACTAAAAAACAACTTTGAACCCATAGTTTTTAAATCCTACTCTTTTGAACCCACTATTTGATAGTGCTGATAATGAGCTTATTATGCAACGATTTCAAAATATGAAATCTCGTCGTGGTCAATTGTAGAAGCTCGTGTATTAGCATGTCTTTTTGCTTAAATAATAGTATCAATATATTGAAATATTTTTGTTTGTAATTTTAGAATTTAAATTAATTTGTTGATTTTTTTCTCCATATGCGATATAATGATTAATGTGAATTTTCTGTAAGATATATGGTATTTAAGTTTTTGATTGACACCACTGACAAAAATTCCTGGAGTCGCCACTGCTCCTACTCAAATTGTAGAATTTTTCAAACAACAATGGTCATTTTTTCAATAGTCTAACGGCCATATTTTTTAAATTATATAAATAGCACTATTGGCTCTCCCCATTTCAATCTGACGCCAATTTCTCTCGAATTCATTCTCTAAATTTTTTCTATGGCTCGCAATTGTGTAATCAAAATAATTACTAATGATGAAAACTCTTATGATCAGTTAGAGATATGTACAGTGGTTGCCTTGGAAGAAGAACGACTTGAGAGACAATCAAGCTCACGTTGTGGTTCTGTTGAAGGCCACAGATTTATTCGACGTGATTTTGCTCAAGGCCATGAAAGGCTTTTTCTTGACCATTTTGCTGAACCACATGTATATCCCTTCAATTTATTTCAAAGGAGATTTTGGATGCGCTGCTCTTTTTTTCTCCAAATTCAAGCGGCAGTAGAAGCACATCATCCATACTTCATCCAAAAAAGAAATGCGGTTAGAATGCTCGATTTATCTTCTCTTCAAAGATGACCATCGCACTTAGGATGCTTGCTTATTGTAACGCCTCAAATTTCTAGCCCAAATGACAATACAACAGTCATGGCTCTTTCAAGGAAAATCGAATATAAATCTCCAAACTTACATTACATGATATAATAGTTCTTCATGCAACAATACATTAATCCAACAATAAGAAAATAAACGAATAAATACCCCAAAGGGTTTACAAGTTTCCAAGGCTTGAGCCTGGTTACACAAAACGGTTATTCAAACCCACACATATGCAGGCCTTGGCTTACACACAGAGTCACAGCAAAATGAGAGTCTCGTACTCTCAACACACATTTCCTCGCCTTTAGTTAAGCAGCATCACCACATCTTTTCCTACACAAAAATCAAGTAGGGTGAACAGAAAGCCCAGTAGGAAATCCTTAACAAAATACATACATTTTATACAAGTCTCAACAGATGAAATGCACATGCCATGTTATGCCCTTTTGAAAGAAAATCACATCTTCATCTTTGAAAACCATCATGCTCAATGATATCATGCAATTTCAATTCTTCAAAACTTAACAATTCATTTTAAGAGCGGTAAATACGACTCTGGTAATCCCTAAGTCGGTGTCTGCAAGTAGACTATACAAGTGTTACCAATTTGTCATTTTTACCGGTATTAACCGGAAGGCTCGACATGTATCCGCGCGGGTTTTCGGTCTTTCACCCTAGACTCTCAAGCCAACTTATTCAATATCATCTACACCACCTATCAAGACTTACCAACGTATTTACCCCAAAACCATTCTATGAAAACTTGTTTCTCAACATTTTTTCCTCAATGCAAGTTTTCAAATTAACTTTCAAAGTTTAATGTAATCAAATGAATTGATATGCCAATAACACAAGATGAATATAAATATTGTTATTTCAATTCATCATCCAAGGAATAGCATAATTCCCTCTTCTCAAGTATCCTCAACAATTAGTCATTTCAAGACTATTTCAACGTTTTGAACAATAATTTTCTAAAATGAATAATAATTCTCATATTCCCTGAAATTCATCATTTATATAAATATAAATAAGAAATTTTCCAAAGATCCATTTATTTTGACACACAAAATAAATATAACAATATCATTCATGGATTTTCAGTCTCTTAAAAAAAATCCCCAAATTCTAGGTTTCCTTACCAAAACTATACAACTCAAATCTTTTGAAAGAAAACTTTCCAAAATCATCTTTTCTTCAATCAACGAAGATCAAAACTCATAAGATCATTTTAAGAACAAGAGGCAAACCCACTTTCAAAATCGCTCAACTTCTTGAATCAATAATCAATTTTCAAAGCTATCGAAAGATGATTTCGAAAATCATATAGATCTTGCAAAACCATATATATAACTCTAAGAAAATCCCTACCTTAAGTTTTGAAGAAGAAATGAGATGAAGCCCCCAAAATCAACGGTGTCGAAACTCGATCTTCACCGCACACAACGAAGCCCTCGAGATGATAACCAACTTTGATGAAGAACTTAGGTCTAAATCCCAATGGATTTGGAGAAATCAAAAAGAGAAGATGACATCTAGAGAGAGAAGCTCCCGATCTAGAATTCTGGAGAGTTTTAGAGAGAGAGAGAACTGAAAAAGTGATTTGAAATATCAAATTCACGAACTGATATAACATTGTCCGCTCTAGCGTGGAAAGCCCCGCTCGAGCGTCAAATACACTAACCCAGTACTTTTGTAGACAGGTCAAACTTCTAAAATCAAACATTCTCCGCTTGAGCACATAAACGGCCGCTCGAGCGGACAAGCAACTTCGAATGCATTTTGCATTTTTGCTTCGGGGGCGTTGCCCCCTCGACCCCGCTAGGGCGTTGCCTTCGGACCCGCCAAGGGGCGTTGCCCCCTGGATCCCCGCGAGCTGACCAGGTAGCTCAATTCCCGACCAGCCCAGTCGAAGTGGAAAAACATGAAAGAATGATCGAAATTGGGATCGCTACACTTATGGAGTAACGGTTGATTATATGGATGAATATCTGAGAATCGGAGAAAGCACCGCAATGAAGAGTTTTAAAAAGTTTGTTAAAGCTATTGTTGTAATTTTTTCTGATAAGTACTTCAGGTCACCAAACAACGATGATATTGCTAGATTGCTAGCAGTTGGTGAAAGTCGCAGTTTTCCTGGAATGTTGCGGAATATAGATTGTATGCACTAGAAATGGAAAAATTGTTCGACTGTGTTAAGCGGAATGTATACTGATGAACCAACAATTATTTTGGAAGTAGTGGCGTCGTATGATCTTTGGATATGGCATGCATTTTTTGAGTTACCAGGATCTCATAATGACATCAACGTGCTAGAACGATCTCCTGTATTTGCCAAGCTTGCTAAAGGCTATGGGCCTCTAGTCAATTACTCAATCAATGGTAATGACTATACAATGTGATGCTACCTTACTGATGGAATATATCCACAATGGTCAACATTTGTAAAAACAATTCCATGTCCATGAGGAAACAAGAAAATGTATTTTGCTGCAGCACAAGAGTCCACAAGAAAGGATATAGAGCATGCGTTTGGAGTGCTACAAGCCAGATTTGCAATAGTAAGTCAACCTGCACGTTTTTGGAAAAACTAAGACTCTAAACTATGTTATGAAGGCATGCGTAATATTGCATAACATGATCGTTGAGGATGCGTGAGATGTCAATGGATCAGAAGACTTCAATTATGATTCAATCAATGGAAGTTCACAAGAACCAATCTCACATGAGCATACACCTGAACTTACGAAATTCATTCAAAATCATCATCGCATGAAGGACAAGGAAACTCATTCTCGACTCCAAGTTGACCGTGTTGAGCACTTGTGGCAAGTTCATGGACAATCATGCCAAAACTTTACTTTAATATAAGTATTTAAATTGTATCACTTACTTTTGTTTAAGAAGGCTTGTATTGATATGTAATTTCAATTAATTCCAACACATGTTAATTATCCAGTGATAATATTATTGTCATTTTGTGAAACCATTTGGTATGAGCAACAATAATATAATTATGACATCTTTACAAATAATTAAACCTTCAACAGAGCATCCAAAGAACTTTTGTTCAACCTATGAATGACAACAAAATCAAATAATTGTTAGCAACAATCATGCACAAGCACACCACCAAGGGTTAGCGAAAGGCCCACCAAACAGCCAAGCAAACCCCCAATCAAGAAAAGAAAAAATAGAGCAAAAGCAATAAAATATAAAACAGTAACCCATCTTGGTTGTGCATAAAACAACAGCTCAAAAAAACCACTCTATGTTTGATTAAATTCAGAAGATCCTCCCAATTTGGTTGTGCATTGTTAAATAAAAACAATATCCCACATTATCATATACATAAGAACTCTTAATGAAACTAATCATATGATGGTCCATGCTAAAATATATTAAATTTTCCTATCATGGTCCATTACAAAATTCCTGCACTATAGTCAAAATACATTACATTTTCATACCATGGTCCATTACAAAATTTCTGCACTATAGTCAATATACATTACATTTTCATATCATGGTCTTACAAAAAATTCCTGCAATATAGTCAAAATACATTTATTTCCATATCATAGCCCATACAAAAAAATATTAACTTCCATAACTTGCAATTACTTTCCTTTTTCAAGGATTTCCATTTGGCGATGATGGTAATATTGTTGTTGCATCGGAGATGAACTTTTATACAATTCTTGGCATAAAAGTTTTGCTTGAGAGATCTGAAATTAAAAAATAAAAGTCTTGTTAAAAAGAGTAATAATTGCAATATGTATAATTTTTAAAAATATAAAAAATTACCTTGTCTTGCTCATTTATACAATCAAATTCTCCAAACCCTCATGTACATGAAAAATCTATTCCTATTCAACCACAAAGTCCATAAACCAATAAATAAAACAAATTCTCATATAAATTTCTTTAAACCTTATTATAGTTTGTTTGTTTCCAATGTCTATTCTTTTAATAAATTCATTCTTATGTGTCCAGGTAAATTGGCAAAACCACAACAGTCGCACAACTCTCATTGGGGAATGATGTGTCTTGAAGAAACACCTGAAGGACAAGTAGTGAATGATCATACATGAATTATTTATTTATTTTTTGAGATGTTCTAGATGTTGTTTTCCAGATTTTAAACTTGATATGTGCTTACTAAACTCTATTTTATCAGGCCTGTGGATTGGTAAAGAACCTCGCATTGATGGTGTATATAACAGTGGGATCAGCAACACATCCCATTTTGGAGTTTTTGGAAGAGTGGAGTACAGAAATTTTCGAGATAAACAACCATTGATTTTTTCATAAATTTAAAAACTCCTCTTTAATTTCTAGGAAGTAAAATTGATTGCAATCAAATTCTCAAAGCCGTTATATACATGAAATATCTATTCCTATTCAACCACAAAGTCCATTAACCAGTAAATTAAAACAAATTCTCATATAAATTTCAAATTACCATCACCAAAACCAAAGCATCACATATATATTTGCAAGTTTTTGGTCTCTATTTGGTGAAGAAGCAAAGAGAGAGATACACACTACACAGAGAGAAATAGACTAGAAGAAGTAGGGTTTAGATAGGAACAACACAGAGAAAATACATACCAGAAATTGCCGATGGTGATGATGATGGCAAGGAAGAGCAACCTAAACTAGTGAAAGAGATTCTTGAGAGACTTTGGCCATCATTGGTGCCTTCCAGTTTCCCCTTTGCGCCTTCAATGAAATAAAATAAGAATTTATCAGATATAAGGGAGCTACAGTGACTCTCTAGAAATAGGGAGTGATTATAGCAATCCTAAATCTAAGGGATTGTATAGGGGATCTGGTGGGGAAGGGTTTTTGTACAATCAACCCCTTAATTTAGCAAAAAGGGCATATAAGGGATCTGATAATGATGCTCTAAATACAAGTTGACTAGTGTAGATGGATTAGTGAAGGAACAAATGTTTCGGGTGATAGTGCTTTATTTTTTCTATTTACTTACCTATCTTCTTTGTTGTTTGTTTATAGACGTGCCAGTGTCACCTAACCTCTCGAGTTGTGAGAGATTTATTTTATTAAGTTAGGTGTATTATTTCGTTCATGTGACTTGGGCATCACTTCTCTGACGCTGTGTTGACCCTCGAGGTCGTGGCTTGAGTATATAATATCTCATTTTTTTGATATAAAACTAACTGCTTACCTACACAAAATAAAAAAATAAAAAATAAAAAAGAGAGAAAGAAGAAATAAATTGAAAATGAAGAAAATAATTACAAATTAGTGAAAATTGTGCCCAGTGCAACTAATTTCTATTTATTTACAAATTTGTTTCCTCAATTTTTATTTATGTGAAATTTTCAACGAAAGAAAATGAGATGTGGAATATTTGGTATGGTGCAGAGAAATATTCTCAAAGAGACAGGCTCAAATGTGATACAAAAGATGTGAATATCAATCAAAATGTAGTGGTTCAAACAATACAATGCCATCAATCCCCCTTATTATTGTACTTTATATTTGTTGTTTTTCCTCATTGTGGAGACTTGTAATGGGGCAGTGATATGTAAAAGGAGAGATCCAACTATGAAGTCAAGCCACATGTGTACCAAAGTCCTACAGAATGGTCCACCCTGACCTGCAATCCTATATGATAAAGATGACAAGTTCCAGGCCCATGCTTAGTTTCAAAGCATGTGACTCTCATCACTGAAAAGTCTGAAAAGATCAAATGTATGTAGTTTTATTCTATGCCTAACATGCCAATCTTAGCTCCTTTAGAAATTTTTTGAGGGGTCGTGAATGTTGATGGAGGGAATAGTAGATGAGTGTATCAAAATTCAAATGATTTGAAATAAATTTTTCATCATTTTTTTTGTGTTGTTTTGTAAATAGCTATAATATCATATATTTTCGAATGTAAGGGGAGGGGGAAAAGGTGTTGGAGGGGATTAAATACGCCACTATGAGTGTGGGAGTATAAGGTCCCAACAAATGAGCCATCCTATCTGCTCCATCTTTGTTTCTACTATTCTAAATGCTCAAAGGAATCCTAAGCCATTCCATGACCCAGGGAAGAATGGATAAATTGGATGAACCAATCCTTAGAGGGTATGGATTTCCAATGTCAAAATTAAATCCCAAAAAATTACCCTCTATCTGCCAAATAGGTTTGAAATCAAACAATGTACTCTCTCTCTCTCTCTCTCTCTCCAACCGGAGGTTTTATAAATAAACTCTGGATACGCACAATTACTTGTAAATCACACATATCAGTTAAGCTAGAGTATTTTTGTGCCATGTGAGAGCCGAACATGAAACCTCTGGAAATTATCCTGTAATGGAGCTCCCTTGTTGAACCCTTAAGTCAGTGGACCATCTGTGCAAGTTTAATGCCTAACTTAACTGAATTGTAAGAGAGCTAACAAGGTGAAAGTTTTTACACAGTAGTCAGCCATCTTGGAAATAGACCATTTTAATATGATTATCAGTCCTGGACTGAGGATGTACATAGCCAGCAAGATTCCTAGGAGCAACATCGGGTGGAAATAGAGGTCAGGAATTAGTTTTCGAAGTCTTGGGGGTAAGGTTGCCTACCTACTACCTCTTTCCAACCTTGTTATAAGTGGGAGCCTTGTATACTGGGCACCCCTTTTTTAACTCTTCCTTCTAATAAGAGTGATGTTTTCTGTAGAAAGAAAAGATCTAAAATCTAAGCTTCACGTATAAGCTAATGGAACACTAATATAAAGCAAATAATAATAAACAAACTAGAAGACCATAAAAATCACATTTTTTTTCTAAAAAACTTAAGTGGTTTTGAATATGAGAAACTAATAACCAAAAAAAAAAATAAAAAATCACTATGTGCGACCACTCTTCAAATAAAATCACTAAAATATGAAAATGAGTCATGAAATCAGTGTTACATATATGGCACTGCACATCGCGTCTACCGATCTCCAAAGTTAATTCATTATGAGACATTATTAGGAGAACAAGATACGTGTGTGAACATATATTCCAAATGTAACATGGCTTCAAAGGCAGCCATCATCCAACATAAACCGATGTTTTCTTCCTAACAAGAATTAACTAGCCAACCCAAAATAATTGCAATAAGCCCTTGATTAATTTCGCCTATAGAAATTCATTTTCTGTACATGCAAGTTACATAATACCGAGGATAAAGCAGAACACAAACAAATAAAAAGAGAAAAGAAAGAAAAAACTTTATTCAATTTTTCTATTTAAAAGAAAGAGGAGATTTCCCATCATAAAGGTTTGTGGGGACGACTGGCTGCATGAGGCATTATGTATCCTTATAGTTTTTGGATAATTAGCTTCTGAACCTTGAGAGGCATGATAGCGTAATGTATGGTAAAAGGAAGAGAAAGCCTGAACATAAGACCAGGTTTTGAATTTGCTACTTCTTTCTTGATTCATCTGTTATAGCAATCGTTCATAGCATATAAAAAATGTACTAATATCCATTACCTAAAGGTATTTTAGGAACAAATTGAAGATATTATTGCAAATTTTAAACAATTTATTTTAGTTTTAAATGTATTAACACATCCATTGTCTAAAGGGTATTTGGGAACAAATCGAAGATATTATTGATAATTATGACAATAATTTTTTTTAGTTTGTTTAGGAAAACAATAAATAGGAACTGAAACTAAAAGCCATCTCACTACCAATGCAACCTGTGCAAGGATGACAATGTAAAATTGGTAAAACATGACTTGCCTAGAAAATAATAGTTCGGAGAATGGATAAAGATCTTGTCATTTTATTTATTTATTTATTGATGCCTTGTGCTACCCTTGACCATTTAATATACCACGATTCCTTGAAATGTCTACAATTATTCCACTATTGCAATCTCATGGTTCAAAAATTGCCTTGAACACTAATTTCTCAGTTTTGTGAGCAATTTGTACAATGAATTACTGATTCACACAACTAAATATGGAAGCGAATAACCAAATTGAGTATTAGACATTCTTGCAATGTTATGGAAAATAAGAGAAGTATGTAGAGGTTTAGTCTTGATTCTTGAGATACAAGGCCATGATAATAAAGCAATGGGGAGCATTTTAGTTTACGTTGAAGGTACTGCAAATAGAAAGGATGGCCAAATTTAATGGCATGAAGTAGGGGAAGAAAACCGTGAAGATCCACAATCCATACGAAAATATAGCCATAAGCAGGAAGAAAAGGCTAGAAGATTCTAATTATTTTGAGATGAATTAGCACCAAGGTTTCTCTGCATAAATATATATATATATGCATGCCACATTATTGTGGTCTTCTGTAATGTCATTTAATCTCCATTGCAATAACATAACCTGTGTAAAATGCGTTAGTATGACGTCATCATAAAGTTTATCTGAAAGCAATGTGGAAAGTACTTACCATGTTACCAGTAATCTCCACATGAACACATTCCATGCTTGAAATGATGGAATCGCTTTATATCTCTCAATACAATTTCCCTTTGACTCATCTTACTGACATATTTCATCATAGAATGGCAATCCCCACAGACTCTCAGGTTCTTCACAATCCTAATGGTCATATTTGGACTAGTACTGATCAGCCCAAAGGCAAGTGCCAGTTTCTCACTATGACTTCCTAATGAATCTTCTTTCTCTTCTTCTTCAATGTTATGAAGTACCCACTCAGTTCCAGGCACGTAACCTTGTTGTCTTGCACTCCTTGTTATTTCCTCCAATTTTTTATATACCTCTTCTGCACTCTCATGAGCATGATCATTGGCGACGAAACTATGAACTTGGCCATCAACCTCAATATAACTCCACCCGGGATTTTTCTCTGCACCTCTGTTCTTCATTGACGTTCCTCACTCTTTCACCATCTTCCCCATCTACCTACCCAGCATACATGTTTCGACAAAAAGACATAGCCTCCAGGATGCTTCGGCTCAAGCTGAAGGAGCCTCTCTGATGCAAATTCGGCCATCTCAATATTTTTGTGAGCCCTGCAAGCACAAAAGAGTGCCCCCCATATCACAGAATCAGGATCTAACGGCATACTTTGAATAAATCTTAGAGCTTCATCTAGACGACCTGCCCGGCCTAGGAGATCTACTATTAAAGCATAATGTTTCATGGTTGGTTCAATGGAATAGTCAAATCTCATGCTGTCAAAGAAACTAAGTCCCTTATCTACTTGCCCAGAATGTAAGCATGCAGTTAGGATGGCAAGAAAGACAACTCCGTCAGGGTCAACTCCTGAAAACATGGACATGTTTCAATCTCTAGTATAACAAATTGGAGCATCAAAAACAATTTTATAATTAACTATAAATTCCTCACCTTCTAACTTCATCTTTTCGAAGTATTGAAGAGCTTGCTGAAAAAATCCATGGATTGCCCAACCCCAAATCATCACACTCCAAGTACGAAGGTCCTTCTCTTTTGTCATGTCAAACACCCAAATTGCAGACTCGATATTCCCACATTTTGCATACATGTCTACCAAAGCAGTTCCAATGGCTCTGTTCAACACGAATCCACTCCTTGAAAGATAATTGTGAATTCGTGCTCCAGCTTCTAATGCTCCAACTTTCGCGCAAGCCGAAAGTGCAGAAACCAAAGTTAGATCATTAGGCTTCACTCCCATCTCCAGCATCTGAAAAAACATAGACAAAGCCTTTTCATGGTGTCCATTCTGTGAAAAGCCTGTAACCACTGTGGTCCAAGAAACCACATTTTTCTCTGGCATACGATCGAAAAGCTCTCTTGCTCGGTCCACCTCACCATTTCTCATAAACCCATTAATCAAACTATTCCAAGAACCAGCGTTCCTATCCGGCATTGTCTCGAATAGCTCTGTTGCCTTTCTCAAATCTCCCATTTTACAACACCCATTAATCAATACATTCCACAACAGTATACTCCCAAGCTTATTTCTTTCAGGACTTTCATCAAACAACTGCAAAGCATCACCCAATAACTCAAATTTCACATACATATCAACCAATGAAACTCGAACAAACGAGTCAAATTCAAGACCCATCTTCAAGATCCCACCATGAACTACCCTTCCAAGTTCACATTCAACAATTGCCGCGATCGACTTAAGCACATAAGGCATTGTGAGCCTATCAGGTCGAATACACATCCTCAACATGAGAACAAAATGGGAAATGGAGCTTTCAAAACGGCGATTCTCAGCGAGTGCCCGAATCAACGCATTGAACAGAAACAAATTGAGATCAGCGCATTGTTTAGAGATGGATAAAGCGTAATCGACTGATTTATGGAGAGAACATGAAGATATGAATTGGGTTAGGAGCCGAGTGTTTGAAGAGAGATTGTGGAGGATGATTTGGGCGTGAATTTGTTGGAGTTGTTGGGTGGTTTTGGAGGAGTGAATGAGAGATATGAAGTGGGTTTCAGGTGGATTAATGGTTCCTGTGAAGAAGGGTTGAGGAGAAGAAACATCGCTTTTGGAGAAAGAGGAGGTGGGTTTGAGTGGGGAAGAGTTTGGTTTGAAGAGAACATGGAGAGCTCTCATTCTTTGGATACATTCATGACTTTGAGTGGATGTTTCAAATATAATTTACAAGGCAGTTACAAATCACAACGGTTTGCTTCTGGCTCTCTCTCACTTTTGAAGAAAAAAATAATAATGATTCATCCTACTATTTTTGAAGTTTTAATGATGAAATTTTGGGTATGTTTGGTTTGTGTTTGAGAGATGTGTTTTAGAGATAAAAAGTACGAAAACATGTTTGGTTTAGTTTTTTTTAAAAGATGTTTTGGAAAATTATTTTGAGATAGAGTTTTGGAAAAAGTGATTGATTTGATATGTGTGAGAGAGAGATTTGTTTGGAAAACTTGTTTGGTTTACAAGTTTTGAGAAATTTTTTTGGAAAAATTTGTTTGGTTTGATTATTTTTGAAAACTTATTTGTAGAGAAAATTTCCCAAAATTTTTTCAAAAAATCAAACCAAACGAGCCCTTTATTTTTGAAAAAAAAAAAAGAAGCTTATGACCAAAACATCAATCAATAAGTGGATGGGGTTTACCCCTACAGTTATTTTAGAGGTTATAATTTACAACTCCTAAATATTTTTCAGAAAAAAAAAAAAAAAAGAGAAAAAAAAAAGGGCATCATTGCAACAGCCTGATTTACCCAATTCAAGAAAGTGACCTACCATCGAGTTAAGTATGAATGTACTAACTTGAAATTAAAGTAGAAGAGACAGAGGCCCGGTCCGGGGAGAGAGGTTTGGAGTTTTTTGTTTTAGTTAAAATAGTTACAATAAATAAAATAAATTTTTTAGTTCAATAAAATAAAATATCACATTTAATTTATAATTAATACATTCTTTTTTTTACAAAAAAGTTAAAAAAATCAAAAATCCTTTCCAAACTAGATTTTTTAACCCTAAACTAAAAAAATCAAAAAATCAATCCACTATTTAAACGAAAGGATTACGAATAGAAAATAGCCAGAGTTTTGAAAAGAATATAATATTAGTTTCACTAAATAAGTGAGAAACTAATTATATTTAAAAATCGAACCATGCTCATCAGCGCCTTTTTCACGCCGCCACTATCCCGGTGGCCTCTCTCACTTTTTTTTAAAATTTTTATTATTAGATCCCTCTCACAGTTTGCTTTCAAAGCTTCAACACAGATTGTGAAGAGAGAAATACAGAGCAATCTATCTAAAGTTACGAAGTGTTGAGGCTTTTCCTATATTAATATATTTCTCAAATTAAGTCTATTTTTGTAGTTAACGCGTGTTTACAAAATAATCTTTTAGTATTTTTATAATTCAGACAGACAAAATAAATAAAATCATAAAAACGTATTTAGAAAACACACTTTTTTTTAATTAAGATGGCACAGCTACAAAATATGCTTATAAACTGATTTAGAAAACGTGTTTTACGCTTTCAAGAGTCACATCTCACTTTTCTATTCTATGTTAACTCCCACACACAAAAAACTCCCACACACACACCACCAACACAAGAAATTATTCAATGCTCATCCAACAACTCCTACTTTGACATATATTAGGGATTGTTCAAGTCAAATTAGGCACTACTTGAGTGGTGGCTTTTTTGTTAGAAAAATTAAAAAGTAAAAATATTGAATCATATTATTTATTTATATATTTTTTCATAAAAAATAAAAAATTAATTAAAATAATTACTTCTCAAACACCCTCTTAATAAAAAAAAGTAAAAAATCATTACAAAAATAAAAAAACTAAAAAATAATTTTTAAAAATGAAAAAATTCTTATCATTTTCTCTACTTTTGCATGTTTTTTCATAATAAAAAAATCTAAAAATTATTCACAAAACTTTTATTTTTTTACCTCATATTTTAATTAAAATTTTAAAAGAAAATTACCAAAAAATTTAAACAAATTCTCAACTGTTTGGCCCGGTTGAAATTTTAACGGGAGGCCAGCCATGCACTTGTCTTTACATGCAAACAAATCATATTTTAGATTTTAATTTTGGCCTAGTGGTTTTGGGTGTGGTGAGGAAAAAATCATGGGTTTGAGTTGATGGAACACCCGTGATTTTTCCCTTACCACACCCAAAACCACCGGATCAAAATTAAAATCTAAAATATGATTTGTTTGAATGTAAAGAAAAGTGAATGGCTTGTCTCCAATTGAAATTTCAACTGGACCAAACAGCTGAGAATTTGTTTAAACTTTTTGGTATTTTTTTTTTAATTTTAATTAAAATATGAGATAAAAAAATAAATTTTTTGGGAATAATTTTTAGATTTTTTATTATGAAAAAACATGCAAAAGTAGAGAAAATGATAAGAATTTTTTGATTTTTTAAAATTATTTTTTAGTTTTTTATTAAGAGAGTGTTTGAGAAGTAATTATTTTAATTAATTTTTTATTTTTTAAGAAAAAATATATAAATAAATAATATGATTCAATGTTTTTACTTTTTAATTTTTCTAACAAAAAAGTCACCACCCAGTCATTGCCTAATTTGACTTGAACAGCCCCTAAATATGTGTCAAAGTAGGAGTTGGTAGAGGAGCATTGAATAAATTCTTGTGTTGGTGGTGTGTGTGTGTGAGTTTTTTGTGTGTGGGAGTTAACATAGAATAGAAAAGTGAGATGTGACTCTTGAAAGCGTAAAACACGTTTTCTAAATCAGTTTATAAGCATATTTTGTAGCTGTGCCATCTTAATTAATTAAAAGTGTATTTTCTAAGCATGTTTTTATAATTTTGTTTATTTTGTCTGTCTAAATTATAAAAATGTTAAAAACTTATTTTGTAAACAAGTGAAAGAGGTGACCAACTAGAAGTGGTGGTTAAGAATGGTTGTTGATAGTTGGCGATGATGATCAAAATTTCTTGTTAGTCAGAGTTTTTAGTTGCTAAAAGTGGTTGCCACTTATAAGAGGCGATGAGTGGAGTAGTTGTTGGTCGAGGGATGTGTTGGCCAAAGGAAATATGGTGGTCAACCGTCGAGTGGTGCCAAAGGTAGTTGCCAGTGAGAGGTAGTTGACGACTACTGGAATACCGATTATGAGAGGTACTGATTGAAAGTAGTTATCAAAAGAGCTCACGGATAATAGTGGTCAGTGTTGATGATTAGTGGTAAGTGGTGGTTGGAAGTAGTGAAAGTAGGAAGAATGAATGAATTTTTTTTTATTTTTAAAACAAGTAATACCAACAGTTTTGTGATTATACAAATTCAATAAATTTTGTAAATTGTTTATAAATCTTGAAAAACAAAAATAGATAAGAGAAACATATTTATGTATAAATTTTAATAGTTTTATAATTATAAATTAAAAAAGAGGCAGTTATTATAAATCTTATATCCATGACTATGGATCATTTAATCCCATAAATATTCTTATAAACTCATAAGTCTTATCTCCCACATTTGAAGATGTAATAAGACAATAGTACACACACATCAGAATGATCACCATTGTCACATTTAAGAATGACACATTTGACAAAAGTTTAATAAGACAATAGTGCACAAATGTCTCATTGTCACATTTTAATAAAGACACATTTAATAAGACAATAGTACAAACATTAGAATGATATCCCATTGTCACATTTTAATAATGACACATTTAA